ATATTAATCAGAGAAATTTATAATATTATTTTACACTCTGTAGGTCTAAATATTAATCAGAGAAATTTATAATATTATTTTACACTCTGTGGGTGTAAATATTAATCAGAGGACAAAGTAATATTTAATAGTTTGTGTTAAATTGTAACATGATTCAACAGTGCTACACTCTGTATATATGCTCCGCAAGCTAATATCTGCTAACCAGTTCAATAAATAACAGTGATTACATCGACTTTATAAGATTATTTTAATTTTAAACTGTTGCATTATGTTCTGCTCAGATCACATTGAGCTAAATAAGATCAAATCTGCTGACTTGTGTTGTGAAATGAGACGTTTTCCTGTTTATCTTCTGTTAATAAATCCATAACACAAACAGTTTTTCTGGCATTATTTAAAACAGATAGATTATATAAACTGAAAAATATTAACAATAATCTTGTTAATATTATTATTAACAGTTTTTATGCTTTCTACATCATCAGTCCTTCTTGTCTGCTCTGTTGTCAACATGTACAGCAATGGGAAACCCAGACTCTTGACCGTTTAAGCGTTAGCCGTTACCTTCTCCAGCCGGTCACGTGAAACGGGCCAGCCGAGAAGGTTTAAAGGTCGCAAAATGTATTATTTTCTTTTCATTCCATGATTTAGCATCAAACTAAACTACTACATGACAATATTTCTCAAGATTTTGTTACTTTTAAATGAACAACATGAAATAAAATCATAGAAAGCGAACACAGCATTCTGAGACAACTTATTTTTAGAGTTTGCTTATATGCAAATTTTCAAAAACGTCTCCACCTGCACCTGTCTCTGCTTGGTTAGCTTTAGCTGTGAAAACAACCTGTTTGTCYAAAGTCTGCTCTCTTCTTGGCATACGTTGCATTTGGCCAACAAAGCTTGAAAATTCTTTTGGGTTTTGTCGTTACATGCCCCCCCTGTGTGCAGGTACACACAGGCGTGAGTGTGTGTTTGATCTGAAGCTGCACAGCTGGCTCCGTCTCTGCGCTCCTCCTTCCTTCGCCCGTCTTTGTGTTCCCGCTCTCGTAATTAATTCACACGTGTGGCGCCGCGGTCTCGCTCAGCAGATGTTCAAAAAGCTGGAATACTTGTAACTTAATGCGAGCCGTTTTTCTGATTACAGCATATGTGGGACCGACGTTGTAATTACGCCCCGCTTTGATAGGAGCGTGTTTACAAATGAACAGAGGATGGCTGTTCCCCTTCAGTCAGTTCTAATAAAGTTTGTGTTTCTTTTCGCATCGTTCTAATTCCAGCATTGTTCTAGTTATTAGCAGTGGATTTAATCAAGTTCTGATGATAATAGAAGGAAATGCAATTAGGATTGCCAGTTATTTTGGGGGGAATTTTGTTCCAGAGTGTGAACTGTGTCAGGGCCGGCTCTAATCACTTTTTCATTAAAAGGATTATTTCTTTGTGGCAGAGCCCCAACATGACACGAAGGAGGTAATCCATTTCTCTGAGCTAAAATAAAAAAGTTGCTTCGCCATGTTTTTTTTTTCTTCCAGAATACTATTTCTGGGAATAAAGTCTCGCTAAAGCAGCCGGTGTTGGATGGTTTTCATGTTTTCCGTGTGCCTGGTTTCATCCAGGAGAGCAAAGATCTGGCAAAAGCTGTTAGATTAGGGTTTTAGGGTGAAGCTGACTTCCTGCTGCGGATTCAAGCAGGATGTGCAAAGATTTCTAATGGATCAGAACAAGACGAAAAGAACAAAAACTGAAAATTATTGTACCAAACAAGATAATAAAATGGACATAAATATAATGTAAATGAGCGAATGAGGATTAAATCTCAAAGTGGTATGTAGAGAAATGCATACGTTGCTTAACTGAAACATTTGAAATATAATCTTTTTTTGAGCACTTGTTTGAGCAGTATAAAAAACATGAATTTGAGCAGAAAAGCCTTCAGTTTCTGTCATTCTTCCTGCAAACTAGTTTTATTTCTTCCCAGCTGGTACATCTTAACATCCAAATATTCTTTGATGTTTTCTCTTTTAAATGACGTCGAAATTTCCTCATTAGAATAACCTAAAAATAGGATTCAGACCAAATGCTGATCGGTTATCCTGATGACGAAGATTAGGCAGATCTCTGGGAAATCAGGAAGATTCAAGTATCAAAATATAAATTAAACAGCAGGAATCTAAAAATGTTGTATTGATAAATCTGATTTAATCATCAGTTGGATGTGATGAGTCACAAATAAACACAAAAACAATGCTGCTTGTTGCTGTTCATGGCAGACTTTAAAACTCTTCATAAACGATCTGATGCATGACCTCGTCATGCTGTGAGATGTGTTGCTCTTAGCGGATGTGTTGTGGAGGACTCTCATCCACTACCACAAATTTAGCTCAATATCTGTAAAGTTGTCTGGTTTTGTGTTGGCTTAGGTCGGTTAGCTGAGGCGACCACCTTGTTTTAGTAAGTAAGTAAAGTTTTATTTATAAAGCACCTTTCACAGAAATATATTCACGAGGTGCTGTACAATCATTAACAGTATAAAAGTGGTGGAAAGAATAAAATGAAACAGAAAAACATGATTACACATAAGCAACGAAATTGAAACATCAAATCAAGAAATTAATTTCTAAAATTGTAAATCAAACACAAGGTCAATGCAGCTCAAAATGTGCAGTAATACACAAAAACATAATGAATGCGGGAGAGAAAAATATGGCATAAGTTCAATAATAAAGAAAACACAGACTGGCGAAGCATTCACAATGGAGGTAGGCTGGCAGTAATGGTGAAAAGGTTAGCTAAACGCTTGAGCGAGAAAGTGTGTTTTTAGGTTTTAGGCTCCACATTAGCTGTGCACTGCAAAACTTAGCCAAATAAGAATAAAAATACTGGATTTTAGTCTGAATATTCTCAAATGAAGTAAAATAATCGGCCAAYGAAGTGAGACAACTGCACTTGGTAAAACTAAGACTAATAATCTAACATTTTTTTAGTATCAGTCTCAAAACAAGATGAAATAYACTTTTTGACTGGATGTAAGATTGTAAGACTTTGTTAAACTGACTGTTTTTTACAGTGTAGATGTGCTTCCAGTGATACCTTTATGGGGGTTTAGTCAAAGTGGTTCCTGTGATATTTACCTGAGAGACATGCACTTGCAGTGGATTTGTAAAGTTGTATGTTTTTATCTGACAGCTGAGATTGTGACAGAACTGAGCCTCCTCAGAGAACAGATCCAGTTTTTATTTAAAAGAAAAAAAAAACCTTGAAAAAAATACTGTCTACCCGAGGATTTACAGCTCAGCCTCAGAGTGAGAGCTCCATCAGATGTTTTCTTCTGACCACCATAACTCTGCGTTTTTACTGCAGTGTCACAAATAATTAAAGGCTGGTGACAAACAGGCCTGCACCGTCCTCATCAAGGTTGATCCCATCATTCCTTACTGGCAGGAGGTGATTGTTTGGACCTCCACATGTAGCAGCAACAGTCCAATCTGTGTTTAAGTGTTTTATAAAAAGAGCTCTTCTGCCCCCTGCTGGATTCAGCTCAAACAGGAAGCTGTCACCAGTAACTKTGCTTCGTTTTATTTTCCAACGTAACTCCTCGTATTTTACAGTATATCTGTAAAATGATCAAAGTCTACTAGCTTTATCACAGAATATTATGACGTTTTTAATTAAAGATAAAATCTGAAGTGCTGGTTTGAGTTATTTATTTTAACTCTCCATAGAAATTAGTTCACGTTTTAAACAAGAAATACATAAAAAAAATTGCTAATAAATACATCACAAGACTCCCTGATAGTTTGTTTTTTGGAAGTACAAATAAAAAATATTTACTGTAACTCAGCAATAAAGTACATTTTAATGATGCTTTATTAACAGCAAAGAAAATGATAACCGTCAACTGGAAGCAAACAGAACCCCCAACAGAGCTGAGTGAGCGCAAAGATTGAAACAAGTCATAAAGCAACAAATGAGAGCAGCTTTACAACTGAAAGTGAATATCTTTGTAAAAAGGATGACATGTGAGTCTGGATTTGAATAAATGAATATGAGATGGGCTGATGCAACAAATATTACAATAAAATGTCAAATGTAGTGCTCTTGTATGTAATTTGTCTCAGTGTGTGAAGTTATTTTGTGATCGTCTCAATTGTGAATCATGAGGTCCTGTGTCAGAGAATGTGGTTATATAAAGAAATGGCAAAAACCAAGTAAAAAGTAAAAAGAATTAAAATAATAAAAGAGAGGAGAAGTTACATTTTTATTAAATTTGACTTTATTCCTGGTCTGATTAAAGATGTCGGGTATGTGTTTTCTTGTTTTACCAGAGGAGATGCTGCAGACCCCGGTGGCCCACTGGTGGTCTCCGGACGGGCTGCGCTTGGCCTACATGACCATCAACGACACGCTGGTGCCAAAAATGGAAGTGCCGTTTTTCACTGGCACGCCATATCCCACCAGCCTGGACTATCATTACCCAAAGGTAAGCCTGCAGTGATCACGACACGTACACGGTTCTGCAGATGTAGTGAGTGGATTTATTCATTTTAATTAACAGAAATGCTTAGAACCACAGCAAAAATATAAAACCAAAGGCTATGTTCACACTGCAGGCAAATCTGACCCAAATCCGATTTTTTTTGACCCATCTGACTCATATCCGATTTTTTTTTATGACAGTCTGAACGAGACAAATCCGATTTTTTCAAATCCGACCCAGGCCGTTTCAGTATGTGGTTTTAAATTGGATATATATCTGATGTTTTCAAAGTGACTGCAGTGTGAACGTCACATTCCATCTGACTTTTTCATCAGTGAGGAGGGGGTGAAGGACCGATAAGACACTAACCTCAAGTC